GCAATCTCCTGGCGGATTTTTGAGGCTTCGGATGTTTATCTTTCCAACCAGGATCAGCCTTGTGACACACTTTCCCAAGCAGGTACTCGTGTTCCTACTAGAGATCAACTACCCACGTCCGCTTTTTCGGACACATCTGACAGGCAAGAGTTCGCGGTGCCCACACAAGGGACCATTATCTCTGCTCTGCTCACGAATAGTCAGTCCCCGGACATTTATGAGAACCACCCCCACCTGTCTCTTCTGGCCTGTTAACCCTCTGCCTTCTTTTCACCTCATTTTGGTTGTTACGGTAACTTTTACAGCGCACCAGGTCACCATAGTGTGCCTGTACTGGGGTGATAATGCACTCAGCCTACTCAGCCTCGAACGGAAAAAAGGCGCTTACGAGGACGAGCGCACTCTCGAGTAACATGACGGCTGTTGGCACCTCGTGCTTGTCTGCTTATGGCTTCAGTGTTTTGTCAGCAGCTCTGTTTTTGGGGGAAACATCAGGTAGCCCCACGTCAGACAGCATACCTCTTTAGATGCCCATATGCGACCTGCCGACCATTGAGCTGGATATATTGGCGCAGAATTCGGGATCTGATTCTGTGTCCGTTTGGGCTGTGTTGCTGCTGTCATCCTCTTGATTCTACCATGACTGAACCGCGTCCAGATACTGCTATCGATAACGCACTACTTTGATGGTTTTGTCCAACGACGCATTAACAACAGGGTCCTGTAAATCTAGCGAAATCGTGCGCCCGTTTCGCATGTTAAGAGCGCCTAAGCTGTTTACGAAAGTGCGTCATTTAATATAAACGCATGACGAATTGGACCGGTTTTTTCTACCAACCATTGTGTGGATTTGGACCGGAGAAATTTGTCATTCTGCGTTGGCTTCTAGTGTGCTTCTTTATTCTGATAGCTGTTGACATCAATTTTTGAAGTGCCTTTCAGTCTCAGTGTCTGAAATCGGCACGCGTCGATATCGTGTAGCAGTACGGAACTGCGCTCCTCGCTAACTGAACAACATATCTTATTTCTAAACGATATAGGAAGGAGTTTTTATGCTGTTATCTGAGCAACTAACTAAGGAGACGTGATTGTAGTCTTGAGTAAGGAAAATTTCCTACGTAAGAATCTACCAGCACTGAGTGGTACCTGTAAATCGCTGCATGAAGCCACCACTACTAAGGAAGAGCATATTTCGGAAGACGTGAAGGGCCCACAGGAGCTAAAAGAAAATAACTGGCGATATTTATTTGTACGTGCCAGAGGGTGGCTGTTGCGTGAGGGTGGTAGGGATGCTTTAAGGTAGTCATCAGAGTAAAAATACGACAATTCAATACCTTTTTAAAAATGCCTGCAAAAAGGCATTAAGTGAATCTACTAGCATCATTAAATGGTAAAAAATAACGCCACTTTTTAATTGGTGACAGTATGGAGGATCAAAATTTGTGATACCACAAAGCTCTTAGATGTTTAATTCTTTTGCTCAATACACCTGTTCCCCGGAATAAGTAACTCCGGCCATGAATTATATCCTTGCCGCTGCCTTATTTCTTCGACCCCCACTCGCGCTCAACGGGCCCACCAAACAACCCGGGAGGAAGATGTCGTCGTTGGAACAAGAAATCAGTTGACCGGAGGCTTCGAGTTCTACTCGAAATCATCATCAGAGACAGTCGCAGAAAGTGGTAATGGGGACACAAGGAGCGCAGTATTTATAAGACGCATTTGGCACGCAATCACATACGTACTAATAATTAACAGCACCTGCATTCATCACTGGGAGTCGTATTTGATGTGATTATTGCTTGTTAGTTCGCACCCGAATCGTTAATTGTCGAAATTTATTCAGTG